AATAACCCTATATTCAAAAAAAGCTAAGTATTATTAAATCGCTATTTTTTAAGCTTAAAAAAAAAATGGCTAAAACTTATTAATCAAGGTGCATTTTACCTTGCTCTAATTACTGAATTACCTTGATCTAAAATAAAAAGTGCACCCGTCATTAACTCCTAGATTATTCAACCTTATTTCGGATTATTTTAAGATATTATAAAGCATAAAGTGTAATCTCTGAATTTATATGCCATGCCCTTTACCAATTCGTTTCTTAGTCAAATAACTCTATATTTAAAAAGCTAAGTATTATTGAATCATTATTTTTCAAGCTTAAAAAAAGATGGCTAAAACTTATTAATCAAGGTGCATTTTACCTTGCTCAATTACCTTAATCTATAAGATAAAAAGTGCACTCCATCACTAACTATTAGATTATTCAATCTTTCTTTGAGCATAAAGTGTAATCTCTGAATTTATATGCCATGTTCTTTACCAATATTTCATCAATTGACCAATCAGAATTAAGCCGCTATACTAGTCCAAACTCTATTTTGCCTTAGTCATGTGATCTGCATTTGCTTACGTGAAAACCAGTTTTTTTGCGCAATTTGAGACTTTTTTAAATTTTAAGGTAAAATGGGACAAGTCACGTGACTTCCGCCTTTAGGTGTCTCGCACCATATGACCACCAATTTTTTTCATAAAGCTACACTAATTGGATAAAATTATCATTGACAGAGTAATCAAAGAGATTGCTCAAGCTCAAATACATTATCATTTTATTGTTACTTCTTTTTTTTTCATAACATGGATCTCAACAAGATGTCATCGCTACCAAAAATTGTTCTACTCTTATAACAATAAAAGACATTTAATATTCAAAAAATAAAAATTATTTTTTTATACGTCATATATATTTTATTAAAATAACGTTTATGCTTCACTATGTTTCGATATCACTTCGTTTAACATTAACGAATCTATATAAAGTTGCATTGTCGTATATGGTTGTTGCTGTAATAACTTGCTGCCAAATATGGCAGCTGTTGCAATGATAAGTTATTTGTGAAATTGTTAAGAAGGCAAATTTTAAACACCAAAATCTTGGGTGCTAAATTTTTAGGTAACTGAGTAATCGCCTTTTTGAAGCCATAATGGAAATCGAAGAAAGAGATAGCTCAAGCACCGATCGCAATCTTTATTTGATTTTTCGGGTCAGATCCGGATCTTTAGAAATATGCTAGAAAAATCGATGTTTGGCATTTTCTGAACAATATTGAGATTTTGGATTTAAATGAAAATACTCATTCTTGTTTATATGCAGTCTTTTTTTTTTCTATATTGACTTAATAAACAATCGAGATTTTTTAAGATTTAAAAAATTATTTTTCGAAAATTAGACATTCTAAAAATAGATGCAATCAAGAAATATCCAATCAAAATTTATTGATCGAATTTTGTGAGATAAATATAATATACATAGTGATGCGAACGACTCAGCTCGGCTCGGCTCACAGCTAACATTTACTAAGCTGAGCTGATCCTTCGGCTCTACATCCAGAGCCGAGCCGTTTATAAGCCGATCACCTTCAAGCCGAGCCATTTATAAGCCGATCATCCTCATACGATAAAGTTGAACGCACGATACTAAATTATCTACTATTGGCTAATAGGAGCCAATACTTTATTAGTAAACCCATGGCCGAGTCGATAACCGGCTTCAAAGGTCTTAGCCAAGCCATTTTTGAAGCTGATACCTTATTAGTAGACCCATAGCCGAGCCGATGATCGGCTCGGCTTAGCCATTCAGCTCACGGCTCGGCTCTAGTCGTTCGCATCACTAAATATATGTACGTACGTACATACATATAAAATATATGATCAATAAATAATAAAATAAATCAGCAAATTTTAAGTAGCACAAAATTTAGTCGTATTTTTCTCAAAATTAAAACTACCCTTCAAACGGTGGTTTTCCTAGCAAACAGCCCATATCCGTTAGATCCAGTCCGTACAGAACACTAGTTGCAGGACACGATGTTTTTTAGTGCGATTCTTACAAACTGCATCAAATCACATAATTACTAATTACTTTATAGTAATTTTGTGTAACTGATAGCTATCAACGAATTTAAATCACACTAAGGTTGTTCTCAAGCATCATCGATAAAGTGATCCGATTGGCTGAAAAAATAAATCGTGTTTGTCAAAAACCTGGAGCTAACAACCATCTTTTATTTCATAGAGTTACTCCGATTGGCTGAAATTTAAAATCCATATTTCGCACAATGAATTTTCTGCAAAATTGTTACAGGGATCACTTCAATTAATTTCGATTAATCGAAATGATTGAGCAGCATCTCGATCACTTGCAAATTACATCAAGGGAGCTGCTTGAGAACAACCTAAATCACACTAAGGGTGTTCTCAAGCATCTCAATCAATCAATTAAATAATGATCATGGTAACGTTCAAACTTCTCAGTCAATGACGACATTTATAGAATTAAATGCTTGAGCATACTCTCTGTTTTTCGTGATCTACGTTATGCCACCTAAAACACTTTAAAAAATTTTCTACTCAACTGGTTGCCGAAACTTTAACTTCGGCTGCGTCGGTTTCTCCTTTAATGATTTTATCGATTTAAATCTTTTGTTGCAGCAACAGAATAATCATTAGCGAATGTTGCATTACAGCAACAAGAAATAAAAAAAATTTTTCTTACGAATACTAATATTAATATTTAAGTTTTATTGAACAAAAATGAATAGCAGTATTCATTACGATTTGATTAAAGGTTAAAATGGGTTGTAACGTTATCAAGGTATCTTTTAAAAGCTTCGAGAATTAAAAATGAAGTGACTATTTTTTCATATCGGTTAGAAATTTGCTGAGAATTTATTGTTTATTATTTTTGATATGTAAAAAATTAAAAGTAATGCTTGAGCAACCATTATCAATGGTAAATTTTTGGAGAAAAAAGGTGGTTTGTATCTCGCTGATTTGTTTATCGAAATGGTAACTCACTTGGTTAATTTATTCAATTTCCGACCAACTAAAATTTTGCCTCCGATCCATTGAGCGAGGTGCTTGAGAACACCCTAAATCACATAAATTCCGTGTCCCTGACTAGTTGGCCTTACATATAACTGGGTGACATTACTCCGGGATTTTAGGTAGCGTTCCCACAAAAAATTGTTCATTCCCAGTAATTTTGACCAATCAAAATTTAAGAACAGGTGTCGTGTTTTGCTTTCTAAGTAAAAAAGTTACGCGTAAAATGAAATCAAGAAATCTATGTTATAATTAGGGTTAGGATTAGAACCAGTGTTGGAAATCATATGTTCACAGTGTTCACAAGAGCATAAATTTTTTAAAAAAATCAAAATATTTTTATTTTATGTTCACATTTGTGAACATAAATAATTTTTATTTAATTAATAAAATTTTATTTGTGAACATTATTTTTTTTAATGTGAACATGATAAAAAACAAAGTATGTTCACAAAAATCATCATACTGCCTTATGAATTTCCAACACTGATTAGAACGATATAACGCCTGTTAGTAAAACATCACGAGGAACATTTTTAATTAGGCCGCAGAAGGTGGTTTCCTTGTTTTTTTGTAAAAAAAATGGGTTCGTTTCGATTTTTACGTTACACCTGATCCTGAGATTGATTGGTCAAAATTACAGGGGTGAACAATTTTTTGTGGGGGCATCTTACTCCGGGGGGAGTTAGCAATAGTCTTTGATATATTCCCTAACTGTAATATAAATTATAGCGTTTATACTTAGTAAATATAGGCACACTTACATATATTACCTTTTTTTTTGATTATTATATCTTATTAAACGATGAAAGCTAAAAATATCAAACTTAATATACAACACCAACAAAATTTTAAAATCCAAGGGACGACAATTCTAGTCTGATATAGCGATTTTATAAGCTTATGTACTATTGTATACGAAAGATAATAAATCTGAAACTCTATTAAAACAAATGTAAAAAAAAATGGCTGTAAATGTAAGCATATAAAAACTTTAGACATAAAAATGCATACATTGAAGTGGTGCCCATACAGCAAATCGAATAATGTTAAACCTGGGTTTTATATTTTGATTGTATGCTAGCTAAAAAATACATGGGAGTTTTTATAACATTGATCTATTGATAAATTAGTCTATAAATTATATGTGAATTATAATGACCTCTGAGTTTCATGCTAACAATCTTTATGTTAATGGACCCAAACTCCCTTTAACGCTGGTAATCTTTGTAACATTTCACAGATGCAAAATTTCATATAATTAATTGTTTATCATCGGTCTACAAAATTCTGCTACTTCTATTATTGCCAGTTTGCCATTGATATCCCTGTTGCTCACTACTTATCAACAGAGGTCCACCTGGCCCATAGCCACGTGCACTTTCATACTTGAATTCATTCTCAGAATCTCCAAAATTGGTTGTAATAGTGCATGGTCCATTTGATCCGACAGTTGGAAACCAAACATGACGTATTCCCATGAAAGCATTACCAAGAAAATGTCCATTTTTGGTGAAAAATACATGCCCAGCATCAGGATTGTATCCACAACCTATAGTGTCACCGACATTTCCCCACGCTTGATTGTATTCATGACCACCGAATTCATCATTATATTTTTTTCCATTAGAGTGGAAACCTACGGAGTATATATTCCATCCGGGTAATCTATTATAATAATAACAATATGTTTGTTATTCGTGTTCATTACTTATGATTTATTTATGATTGTTATTTATTTTCAGCATTGCACATTATGTAAATACCTAAAAGAAGGATAAGGCTTGGTAGCCAACCCTATGGCGATAATGGTATTTCTTGGATCCGGATTTGCCATGACTGTTATCTCAAAATAATGTAACATCTGACCTAGTCGTTGCGGCATGGTTTCTGGTCGCCCAAATGGTGCCTCATAGACTACGTCTCCCTCAACTTGAGGTATAAAAAATGGATAATTGGTCTGCACCATAGAGTCTAATCGCTTATTAAATTTAATAACTTTACCCTCATCCATTGTAGAAACGATTTGCTGTCTTAATAATGAGTCATCAGGTTCCCAATCCCAAGCTTTAGCACCGCCTAAACTTTGAATATATATTATATGATCCTGAGGAGGTATTTCTTCCCGTGGAGGATTCATTATTGTAAATTGTTCAGCCGAACTAAAATTATCTGCAGTTGTTTCTTGATTACGCCCACTCCAATATAACGAATCTGGTGAATTTAAGATTGGCTCTTCGCCACCGCTACCAATTGGTTGCGTGATTATTGAAGGAAGTCGAGGTTTACCGGATAACAATGGGGTGTCACTTGATGATGAACCGGTTCCGGTTAATGAGGATTTCAAACTTTGTACGTGATCTGAAAGCGTTTTTCCCGATTTTAAATACTGCACACAACACCAAATTATACCTACAAGTAAAATTATTATTACGACACTACTAATTACAAGAGTTATGATACAGTTGCTGCCACAATAACTAATGCTCATTGTTCTTTTTATGCCTTCTAAGAGTTTGATCATCGTCTCCCTAGCATTGGTTAACGTTGCGTCATCTTTTGTGCGCTCATCTTCATCTTCCACTGTACCTTCTATCATGTTATTAATAGATAATTCTAACGTGACTTCTATTAAAATTGCTATTAAAATGAAAAGTAATATCAAAAAATGGCGAAAATTCTGCCAAAACGTGGCATTGTTCCGGGACATTATGACATTTCACTAAAAATTATTTTTTCTTTTCTGAAAGCTTATGCTCTATAGTCTCAAAGGTTTTAAAGGAAAAAAAAATCGCGTAAAAAAAGGAAAAAAAAAAAAGGCTTGTGAATTTAGGGTTTAAAAATTCTTTTCTTGTGAATCACACTAATGTTTATTTATCGAAAGTGGCTTTCAAAAGGCTTTACAGAAGAGGCTCTGCAAATGTTACGTGGCTTATTTATTAATGATCAGGCTAATGAACGAAATGTTAATGTTAGCAACTTTCGTTGATATAAACGACCTACGTGGTATTTATAAACATATTTCAAATATTCTCCTGTTTAATGCTGATACGAAGTCTTAACATTGTTTGATACAACTTTTCAAAGATCAATTAATATATCTACACGAAAGTTAGTCCTCATAAATGCATACAAACAAATCTATATATCTTAGCAAATTTACTACGATATAAATTCGTGGCCAATGCCTACTAGAGTAGCCGGGCACAAGGCGCTCATGTAATCCAATAAAATTTAGGTTTACCTGTTAATTTTTAATACGATACGATTATTAAAGTTAACCAATGTAAGAAACTTGCGCTTTATGGTATTTGTGAATTTAAGTTTCTACACAGAATTCATTAATTATTTGTTTAAACATGAAATTCAAAACGTTAATACATAGAACATAGAGTCATATATTTATGTCAACCTTTATCTTATACGGATGGCTTCAAAGATTATATTACCAGTAAACAAACCTAATCAAAGAAAAATAACATGCTGATACGTTATTTTTATAAAATCAAATTACCAAACCAGCTAAGATTTTATAAAAAAAAAAAAAATAGTTTGAAATTTATTAACATTAATTGTATCATGCTATGGAGAGGTAGAAATGCTTCCCGCATCTGATTTGCTGATCTGATGCTTTCAATGCTTTCAACCAACCAGTATCGATCACTAAATATGTGGATAACATATAACGTAATGCGTCAGACACTAATAGTACTCTTTTGCTTAGCATTTTAAGCATGGTAACACCGCTGATGGCTAGTAATTATATCACGACAGGGTGAACCCCGCGTCGGAGATGGTTACGTTATTTTGATGCATATTAAATAATCGTAGATCTGCATCAAAAAGGTAACCTTAAGGGTAGAGGGTACGTAGATCATTTTTCATGATCTACATAGTATTTTAAAATGAGAAAATTTATTTATGTTTTTTTTTATATGGTTAGGGTTAGGGATAGATAAGGTTAGAGTTGAGGCAAAAAGCAGAATTTATAGCAAAATTTTGCAAGGAATTTTTTTCATTAGTTTCATATGCGATATTTTGAGTTATAGGTAATTTTTGGCAAAATGTTCATTTTGTTTTGAATTTTTTATTTGTATAATGTTACATCTGATCTTGAGATTTGATTGGTTGATCATGTAAGAGCGACACATAATATACGTTGCATAGAGGCGATAAAAAATATACTCTTTTAAAATTTACTATAAATTAAAAGTTGTTATTAATAAACCTTTTTAAATTGCAATTAATTTTTATTAAACCTTTATATAATATATAAATTTTTTTTTTTTTTTTTTTTTTTTAACCTTCACAATGTCGTGGAAGGGTGAATTTTTATTAGATATATTAGTAGTATATTCTTGGTTAATAAGAATATATTCTAGCCATATCTGCGTCTTTTAAGCGCCTAATTAAATAGCTATCTATTATTAGAATCTACACTAGATACCGTATTTATAACCTACCATTACTTGAGCTATCTAATTAAACTCTTTGATGTTTCCTGTCTTGCACCACCATCTCAATTACACCAACCTATAACCTCATGCTGCTTCATTGAAGACTACTCAGATCAATATATACTATATTACTTGTGCTCTAATTCTATAGATAACCCAGTAAAGTTCTCATACTTACTGGGTTACCCTAGAGAAAGTGTAGTATATACTTCTCTAATCTTTCTATGTTTCACACATTTCCAGACTAGGCCTTTTTGGTAACTTACGCTGAGTCTGAGAACAAGTACTTGTGAGCTGAGGCCACTACAATTACCTACTACTGCCCTTATAGAGTTCATCTAAACCCCGATATCTACTTTACGGACTTCTTTCCATATCTTTGAAAATCCAAATACCCAATCTGATATCCTGGAAGAGCAGAACCCTTTTTCTGGTTATCTGATGGTCTGGAAGTATAGTGCCTTGCCAAATATCTCGGTTCCTTCTGGTTTTCCAATATCCGGTTGATTATCCTTTATATAATAATCATTAAAGATCTGTACTACTTCTTCACTTGGGTCTTGCTAAGTGGGCTTCCGTACCCTGTAAATTCATTGGATTTATCCAATAACTTTACTCAGGTTTCATATAACTCATACATCACACTATATATTCCACTATCTCCTAGTACAAGCTGGTATAATTACTATTACAGATTCTACAACCCAATAGGATATAGTCTTCCAAATGCATTTTCTATAAATTCAAATTTTCATCACCGGTGAGATTCGAACTCTAGTCCTACCGCTTGAGGGTGCAACAACTTGCCAACTTTACTACGTCACCACACTTTTTATATAAAATTTTAGTTTTAGCTTTTTTATATATTTTTTTTGTTTTTGTTAGTTTTTTTTTTTAATTCTAGTTTATATTTTTTTAAAAACCTTTTTTAAAGATTTTGATTATTTATTTTGTATTTTTTTTATTAATCTAAATTATAAATTTTTCTTCTTTTTCTTCTAGTTTTTGGTTTTGATTATTATATATTTGATTTATTATTCTGTTTGTTAATTAAATTTTTATTTTTTTATTCTTAATTTTAATAATTTAGACAATTTTATTTGTAATTTAATACTTTATACTTTTAATCAATTATCTATTTTTTTTTGAATTGATATTATAAGTTTGGGTTTACCAAAATCTTGAAAAATATATAGGATGTTCTATAGAATAGGTGAGCAAACTCTGCCAACTCTGCAACTTCAATATTAAAAAATTAATGATTACTAATCATTAGCAAAGCTTATTTCTTATATTGTCTACCTATTCTATAAAACATCTAATATATATATAACTAAAGTTTTATCTATTATCTATTTATCTATTTATTTATTAAATATCTAGATTTGAATTTACAATACCTAACAAAAGTTTCTTTGCACCTATATTTCCTTATAGAGAGATGCTATGACCTTAAAACTTTTTAAAAAGTTAATATATACAGTTGATTTCTTTTAATTGCATTATGTTGAGACCAGACTTTTAGCAATATACATTAAGAGAACAATTAAGAAAAATGGATTTATAGAGATTAAATATATATGTGGGCCCCAAATTTAAACATACATTTAGAGAGAACATGCATTTAAAGAATATGTATTTAAAGAAAGTTGACTGTATATAGATTAGATCGTATATTTGTTTTAAAGATTTTTAATTACTAGAACAAATTTTAGATGAGAGCTAAAGTTGAATGTTTTTTGTTTAAAAAATAAAAAATTAATTAAATTCAAAAAAAATAAATATATTGTTAAAGCTTAAAGCTAAAAATTTAAAAATTTTTATATTAAAATTCGATGATTTTTGTAATAGTATAAAAAATTTAACTTGGTTTAATGTAATAGTTATTAAGAAATTAATTTTTAAATTTTGAATTTCATTTTAAAAATTACAAAATAAAAGTTTTTTTAATTGAAAAAATCTCAATATCTAGTAATTTAAATTTAATGATTTTGGTATTATTCGAATTGTCTTGATAAGACAATTTAAATACCATTAAAATCATCAAATGCAGACTGTTAAATTATAAGATATTTGTGAAAAATGTTTTGCAACACAAAAAGAATCAGATATCAACAAATTGAATGTAATGAAAATAAAACTCAAAACTTTAGAAATTAATTTCTTAATAACTATCATATCAAATTGAGTCAAAATTTTTATCACTACTACAGAAATCATCAAATTTGATATATAAATTTTAGAATTTTTAACTTTAAGCCTTGATGATATATATATATATTTTTTTTTTTATTTTGAATTTGCTGTATAC